GGTGGAAGATCTGTGACGAAGACCTTTGCGTCCACACACAGAGCGGGAGTAGCTACGCTTACCTGGAGCAACTGGAGAGCCTACTGGCTCGGGGCCGCTCTATCCCCGTCCGTCTCGATCCGCTGGCCCAGGTGGAGTCTCAGGTGGCCTCGGCGCGAGCCTGGAGGGAGAGGACTGGCCGAACCTTTCTCAAAAAGAACTCGACATACACGCTACTCCAGGTGAGACGTCGTATCTCGGGTTAGGGCTGGGCGGGGCAGAAAATGGACTATTTTTGTTGTCGTCGTGGTTCCCTCGTTGGAATGAAACCGATGACCCCCCCTGCCCCCATTGTGATGGTTCACGTGGCCTTTGAAGGTTCTCAGTCCTCGCGTGGACATCGGCGTGTACGGCAACAGCAAGAGCAAGCGGAAACGAGTGAGGGAGCTCATGGAGAAGGAGCGAGGAGGCTTCGACCCCGACATCCTGAGCGACCTGGACGAGAGCCTGGATGAGGCGCGAGACCCCTCCACCGTCGTCGCCGCCTTCAAAGCCAAAGAGCAGAAAGAGGTGGAGGCCATCCACTCGCTGCGCGCCGCCAACCTGGCCAAGATGGCCATGGCCGACCGAATCGAGGAAGTCAAGTTCTGCCTCTGCCGGAAGACGGCCAGCGGCTTCATGCTGCAGTGCGAGCTGTGCAAGGACTGGTTCCACGGCGTGTGCGTGCCTCTGCCCAAGACGGGAACGCAGAAGAAGCTTGGCGCCGGTTGGCAGAGCAATAGCAAGGACTCCAAATTTCTCTGCCCGCTGTGTCAACGATCGAGGCGGCCCAGGTTGGAGACCATTCTGTCTCTGCTGGTGTCGCTGCAGAAGCTTCCCGTCAGACTACCAGAAGGGGAGGCCCTCCAGTGTTTAACTGAGCGGGCAATGAGCTGGCAGGTACGCGCTTTTTGGGGGCCACGGACCCCTCACATGGGAGACATCTCTTTAGATGAGCAAAAAAAAGAAAAACCGGGTAACTCTGAACTAATTGTCAACGTTACTACCAGGACCGGGCCCGCCGAGCTCTGGCCACAGAGGAACTGTCGTCCGCCCTGGCCAAGCTGTCCGTTTTGAGCCAGCGCATGGTGGAGCAAGCCGCACGGGAAAAGACGGAGAAGATCATCAACGCCGAGCTGCAGAAAGCCGCAGCCAACCCAGACTTGCAGGTCAGAGAGATGAACGCTCATTTTTATAGGTTAAAGAAACAAAAAAAAAAAACGCAGCAATTATTTGACAGAGCCCTTATTGGTGTCTTCTAGGGTCACATCCAGACCTTCCAGCAGTCAGGCTTCAGCAGAGCCACGTCGCCTCGCCAGTCTGTGGACTACGACGACGAGGAGACCGACTCAGATGAGGACATCCGGGAGACGTATGGTTACGACACAAAGGTAAACGTCCGCATTACATCGTTCAAAGGTGCACGATGAGTCCGTAGAATTCCGAATGCTGCGTTTCCAGGACTCGGGCGAAGTAAAGCCGTACCTCTTCTGCGACGACGAGATCCCAGTTAAGTCAGAAGAGGTGGTTAGTCACATGTGGCCGAGTGCCACGCCCTCCTTCTGCGCCGAACACGCCTACTCCTCAGCTTCCAAGTCTGTTGTGCAAAGTGAGCCTTCACCCTTCTCTCATAGGCATTCTCAAACCAGTGTTTGGCATGACACAAAACACTAAAAGAAAAAAAAAATTGTGTTCCAGATGTGGGAACGCCAAGAAAGCAGCCCAGGAAGACTCCTCTGGTACCTCGCAGTCTGGAGCCGCCGGTGCTGGAACTGTCTCCGCAAGCCAAGGCCCAGCTGGAGGAGCTGATGATGCTGGGCGACCTGCTGGAGGTGTCTCTCGATGAAACCCAGCACATCTGGAGGATCCTGCAGGCCACGCATCCCCCCTTGGAGGAGAGATTCCTTCAGGTTATGGAGGTATCGGCACCAATGTATTTATTTTCATATGTGCAGTAATTTCGATACATTTTTTTTTTGTTTTCAGATTTGCATAGACAGAATAAAATGGGCAGGATGTGAAGCATCCACCAGTTGCTTCACGTTCCAGCTAATTTGCTCTCGATTTGAAAACGAGAACGTACTTTTCCAGTCACTGTCCAACAGAAAATAGGGGTTCACTGTATCTACTTGTCTCTTTCGCAGCCTGACGACGGTCCAATGGAGAAGTCTCTGAAAATCAAGATCAAGGATTCAGAGAAGAAGAGAAAGCGGAAGTTGGAGCGAGCCGAGCACCACCACCATCACCACATGCTCATGTCGTCCGCCGGCGCCCGGCCGTCCAAGTCCAAGGAGCTGAAAAGGGCCGGCCAGGAGCTCGGCCTCGGGGGCAAACCCAAGAAGAAGAAGCTGAAACTGGGTCTGGATAAGAACCGAGAGATGAAGCAGCTGGCTAAACGTTTAGCCAAGGAGGAGAAAGAGAGGAAGCGGAAGGAGAAAGCGGCCGCCAAGGCAGAGGCCATCAGAGAGGGACTGGAGAAGAGGAAGGAGAAGAAGATTCTCGACATTCCCTCCAAGTACGAGTGGTCCGGTGCCGAAGACTCCAACGACGAGAACGCCGTGTGCGCTGCCAAAAACTGCCAAAGACCGTGTAAAGACAAGGTGAGGAGAGAGACTCTGAATCACCCTCAGGATTCCATGCGTCAGCACATCATGTTTAGGTCGTCAAAAAGTCACATTGTACCAAGACAGATAATTAATAGACACATTGATGGATTACATGTTAACAGTGTTAACAGAAGTCACACGTGAACGTGTGATGTTAGCAATATTTGACACTGTTTGTACGTAAAAGTACATATTAGATGCACGAGCTTAAGTGCTTCGACTATAAAACTCGGGGGCGGGTTATTATTGTGAACTAAAACTACTGAAAAAAAAGTCAAACAAAAATTTAGAAAACATTTTGTTCATGAAAAATGTTTTTCCAAAAATGACAACATTTTTAAAACTACCATAGCCATAACGATTTGGTGAAATAAATAAAGAAATTGATATGTACAATACTTGATTTTAGGAAAAAAAAATTGGTTTAAAGTTATTAGTTAAATTATTATTTTTAAATGTGTGTATATATATTTAAATATAAAATTTTATTTACAATAAAATAAAATCCTAAGGCATTCATAATATTTATTTTTTTAAAAAAAACTTTGACCAGTAAAAAAATAAAAAAATAGCTGCTCATCCTCTAATTCTGAAGAATTTTGATGCCCATTTGTTTCAGCGACAGGTTTGTAATATGCTTTGAAGTTAATCACAAACATGTTCCTGAAATGTACTTCATGGAACTTGACAATATATCCGCTGGTGACAACAGCACTAGAACACCTGAAAGAGATTCACACATCACATATTAACAGGCCTAGTCGGCTTGGACCTTTCTGGAGACGCCATGTGAGGCGAGCCACCAGGTTAACAAATGGCCAGTCTGCCGCGGCCAATCACAGCACTGGAATTTGGTAGGCTTGCCGCACAGGCGTAATTTTATATACATGCGCTTGTGACTATGTTGCGCTCGACTGTATGTCCCTAGTTCTCAAACCGGTGTCCCCGCGCCCCCCGCAGTCGCCAAACTGTAACGTGGGCGAGTCTGCAAAATCATTTGGCGATGATGAGTTTGAGCTATAAATCGACAAGTACGTTTCCTTCCTTTCCGTCCTCAAGGTGGACTGGGTGCAGTGCGACGGCGGCTGCGACGAGTGGTTCCACCAAGTCTGCGTGGGGGTCTCGTGCGAAATGGCGGAGAACGAAGACTACATCTGCGTGGACTGCTCCCTCAAGGCCGTCGGGCCGAGGCGGGGAGGCGGCGCGGCCGAGGTGGAGGTGGCAGAGGAAACCTTGGTGGTGCTGGCCACGCCGAGCCTGCTGACGGCCGCCGGCGCCTCGTGGTCCCGCCCCGCCGCCACCGTCCGTCTAACGCCAGCGGAGGATCCTCAGCAGAACAGTTAGCACTACGTCAGGCGTCACAAACTGACTTTAAACGCCGAGTCCAGGATGGTGAACTAGCTTCAACATCGAAGCTATTTCTTCAACTTCCTGTATCATAAACCTCAACACACAAATATTTTACAGCCTTCTTGGACCGAAGCAGAGTTTTAGCCCGAGAACCATCCACCAGCTTCTTCCCGGATCTCCCACGCTTTCAATGACCTGTCGCCACTCAATCAGCCAACACGTGTCGTGTTTCAACAAAACTACTCTTCCTTTCTGTGCGGCCCGTCTGGAGGACGAAATGGTTGTAATGTAGTAGAATTATTTATAATGTATATAGCTCGAAAGCAATTAAAATAATGGATTGTGGCTTTTTTTTGTTTTGTTTTCTCACCTTTTAATAAACTATTCCTAGTCAAAACAGTTGCTGTTTACCGATGCACTTGTCTTTTTTTTTTTTTCCACCTTAATGGTCCCATCATTCTAGATGCAAGCGCGGTTGATCTATTTTGTCTTTTGCAGAAAGGAATGCTGTGGAGGAGGAGGAGGAGGGGTTGGCGACTCATAACTTAGCCCAGGGTACATTCTGGCACAAACTCGCCTCAGCCGTCTCTGTCTGAGTGAGTCACAGCCACGGAGATTCTTACGATTGCTTAGCACTTGTTTGCATGTGACTGTAACCTACAAAACCGTCCTTTTATGTTCAGTATATCGGCTATTTATTGTAAAACAGATTAATTTTGTGCTTCTTTAACAAATACACGAGAAGAGGACCTTGAAGAAAAAAAAAATCGCATCTTAAATTGCGATATTGAGCAAAAAAAAGTCACAATTAGGTTATTTTTCGACATCGTTCAGTCCTACCAGTCACTATACGACAGTGGCATCGAAAGTCAATGCCAAGGACGTTTTTTTCCATGTTTTATAATAATCCAGGCATTCGATCCCAGCTACGTTTACTTTTAGGGTCAAGAAGGGTCTGTAAATGGCTGGCACTCATTTAACTAAGTGGTGAGAATCTCTTCAAGGCACAGCGTTTGGGCGTCGCCGCTCCAGATTTCAATTTCTGTTCAATAGCATATGATGCACAAATGCCGCAAATGACAAGGTCACACTTTTCGCAACTCGGGCGGTCTTCTATGTCCGGCGCCATCAATTCCACTGTCAAGTGTAAGCGATGCACTTTACTCGTAAGCGACCACATGATAGCAAAGACAGTGGAGGCTGGCCTAAGTTTAGCATTTCAAGCCCATGCCTCCTCCTTCTCCTTCTCCTCCTCCTCCCCACCACCCCCAACTCTGTACTTAAATTCTAAATCTTGAGCATTTACTGCTAAACCACCTGAGGCAAGCGCGCACGTGAGGCATACGAGGACAAATTCAATGATGGGTAAGCTCAACAACGCCCGGTTTTGCTTCTGTGCTCCAAAATTCACTTTGCCATCTTTTGACTTTTCCCCCTTAGGTGACGCTGCCAAGGCGGGCCTCCGCAATGGCATCGCCGTCCAGGCACCGGAGCCGCTGCCCCCCTCGGAGGTGAAGATGGAGGAGAGGGGCCAGTGGAGCAACAAGGTGGAATTCATCCTGTCCGTTGCCGGATCCATCATCGGCCTGGGCAACATGTGGCGCTTCCCGTACCTTTGCTACAAGAACGGAGGAGGTGAGTGTAAAGAGAAGGAAGAAATCCAAATGTTTGGTTCAGACAATACAAAACAAAGCCCCTCATGCCCCCAACGGTTGTTTACGACGCCTGCTGTTTTGTTTCAATGTAAATGAGTTCCCTTCTTCTCCGCATGCAATGTCCTTTTAAAGAATTCATTTTTACCCTTTTTGGGGAGAGGGGGGAGGAGGGGGGGGGGTTGC